AGGGGCAGCGTCCCTGCTTCTCCCTGTCCTCACAGGCCTGGCGTCCTCTCCTTCCAGGGTCTGGCCCCTGCGCCTCCCTAGACAGTCGGCACCCACACACTCACAAAGTTCGCCTGCCACCCCGCGCTGCACCTCCTTGCCCACTGGACGCCCCCTCGCACCTCCAGGGCACCTCCCTGTCTCGTGCCCCATACGCATGCCAGACCCCGGCTTGGAACCGTTCCTGCTGGCCGCTCCGGCACCACACACAACCCCAAGCCCCCCTCCATCATCCCCCATGCAGCCCAGTCCAGTTACCTCCAGCCCCAGCCCCGCGGCCCCTCCAGCGCCCTCCAGTCCAGCCCACAGCCAGAGCTCGAAAAATGCAAATCTGATCGCATGGCCTCCAACCGGGGCCTCTACAGGGCCTCCCCCTGGCTCTCAGGACAGAAGTCGGACTCATGGCAGGTTCTAGCTGCAAAACAGAAGTGGAGAACAGGAGGCAACAGAGCTTGGAGGGGTTTACATCGCCAGGCAAGGTGGTGAAGGGCAGTGGGAGGCTCGCAGGCCTCAGGAGGACTAGCGGCACCCTGGGACTCGTGCGAGCCACTCCAGGGAACCTTAGAGCTGGCGCCGCCACCCAGACCCCCGCGAGGCCCCTGTCGCGCTGCTCCCGTCTGTGCGACAGGCTCCACGAGACCGCCGTATCCCTGCCCTTCCCAGCTGCTCGCCCAGAGAGGCTCCGTTGTCCGCCCATTGTCCGCCCAGCCCCGGGCAGGCCCCCCTGGACCCCCGCGGGCCTCCCCTCCATCCGGGTCCCACGTGGCTGTCTGTCTGTCTCTCCCGCTGGAATGGAAGTTCCATGAAAGCAGCTGGCTGACATACTCCTGTGCTGGTGTCTACCACATAGTAGGTGCTCAGCAAACACTTGCTGAAAAGCAAACGGGTGAAGGACATTGAACAGGCTCTTTGCCCTAAACTTGAGTTCCTTCGTCTATGAATGCCTGCCTTCCAAACTTGTCTATCGCTCGGGGGTCTCGGAAGGCCCCCCCGCCCCCGTGGATGCCTGAAACCCTGGGTGGTCCTGAACCCCCCATATTGTTTCCTGTCCATACGCACCTAGGATAAAGCTTCATTACTAGGTTAGGTGCAGTCGGAGATGAACAGCCATACAAACAAAAAGGGATGTTACAGTATTTGGTAGTGAAAGTGACATGAATGGGCCCCTCTCTCAAAATGCCTGGCACCGTCCCCGCCCTGCTCCTCGTACCCTCGCGGCGACACGGCGGACGGGATGGGGCGTCGGGCTGCCAGCAGGAGGACACCTCGCCAAGACCGCCGCGGCGGGGGGGGGGGGGGGGGGGGGGGGAGTAGCGGGAGGGGCGGGAAACCGCGGATAAGGGGCGGGGGCAACGGTCATGTTTTCCCCGACAAGCATTCCCGGTTCTCTAAGTGGCCAGGGCAAGGTCTTTTGTCTGATGGCCCTCTCCTTCCTGTGCCAGACGAAGAAGCCACCGTCCCTCCGTCTCGCTTCCCGGCTTCCTCCTGCGCCCCCAGCAGGCCCTGGACCTCACCGCGGGAGGCGGGAGGCAAGTGCCTGATGACCTCCCCCAGGCTCACCCAACCCCGCAGCTGAATTTTTTTCTAATTTGAAACACCATCTTTATCATATTCTAAATCCCTGGGTGATCACCTTCACTGCAAATCCCGGAAAACCCAATCAAACGGGCTTAAAGTGTCGGCTCCTGGGACAGGGAGCCCGGGCAGAACGAGCCGATTCAGGGACTCCGTGAGCTGCGTGTCCGGGCCGCGCTGGGGCTGGGGTCACGGGCCCTCCCTCCCTGCTCGCCCTGTGCTCTAAGAGCCGGCCACACAGCGGGGCTGGCACTCGAACCCAAGCAATGGACTCTGGAGGCCGGCCTTCTGTAGAGGCCAGACTTCTGTGGAGGCCAGCCTTCTGGGGAAAATGACTTCATCTCCCAGCCTAGCCCATCTATGTACATTTATCTCATTCCCTGTAGTCTTTGGTTTATGGTCTGGGCTCTCAGTGGGGATTCCTCTCTCCTAACATAAAACCCCCCAAGGACGCGGCGGCCAGCTGAGAGGCACAGGGGCTGCTTCCCCAGGCACCTCCGTGCCTCCAAAGACCTCCAGGATGGAACCTGTGATTCGAGTGTTTTGACCCAGCCAAGCTGGTGTAAGGGCAAATCCTAGTCACTCAGAAACCATTAAAATGACATTTGGTGACCTTTACAATGTGCCAGTCACTCCCAGACACCACACCTCATCTCTTTGAATCTTGCAGCAACCCTGGGTGAGGGTCTGATCATGTGAGAAAGGGGGGTTGGAGGTGGTGCTCTGCTGTGGGGGTCACCCAGCTAGAAGGTCAAAGCTGTTGGCCCTCCGCCAAGAACGCGGAATGAATGCATAGACGGATGAATGGCCGCATGGATGAAGCAGACAGGCCACAGCAAAGGGGTGTGTGCTCTTAGGCACACGGCATCGATCCTGCCTGGACAGAGGGAACCTTGAGGTGGCCTGTGGTGATTCAGGGGGTGGGAGGCACCTCCCTGGGGCTCCTGAATGGACCTCGCTGGGACTAGACCCTGCGAAGGGCAAATCCTGGGGCTTGGTCCCCACGGGACACGCTGGCTGGGGTGTTGGTATTGGTGAACAGGGGGGCAGCCTGGCCCCCGAGAGAACGCTGCTGGCCTGCCTGCATCCGCCCCAGCTGGGACGGTCACAGCCTGACCACCCCTCTGCATGTGCCCTGGGGAGTGGGGGGTCAGACAAGGCTGCCATCAGACTGGGTGTCTGAGCAGGGCCTTAGGCCCAGTAAGGACTGCGGATGGGAGTTCAGGGACGAGGTGTGCGGGGCTGGGCGGCCCTCCTGTGCATCGTGATGCTGCAAGGCAGGTTGATCCTGAGGGGCCTGGGGACCCTCGGAGCTGGGTCTCTCCAGCCAGAAACCCCTTTGGGAAGAGTAGCAGGGACCCAGTCTCCCGGCGATGAGCCAGGTTTTATGATCACGTTACCTCAATATATACAAACATAAGGTCAGATATGACCTTATGCTTCTGAGCCTCGTAAACTATAAAATGCCAGTAAAATTACCAATCAGGGAGATAAAAGCCCACAAGACACATACAATTTAGATTAGTAGCACAATGAAATTCATAGTTTATTTAATATGAGGTATGTTTTTTGTGGTAAAATGTACATAAAATTTACCCCTGTAGCCATTTTTGAGGGCCACTGAGCACATTCACACTGTTGGGCAGACACCCCCACCATCCACACTGACAGGCAGGTTTGGGGACTTTGGGAGGCCTCGGGTGACTCAAAGGACCTGGGATGTTTTTCTGTTCAAGCCATACCACGAAAGCTCCATCCACAGGTCACGTGCTCTGGCTCAGTGAGGACTCCACTCAGGCACTGAATCGGTCTCTGTTCCTTGGTGAAAATTAATGCGGTTAGCACACACATGTGACTCTTGCCGTCCGTGTCACTTAGTCGGTGACTTAAGACACAGGGCTTCTTTGATAAAAGGGGATCTCCACTGCCAATTTTCCCTGTAGTAGGAAGTCCTGTCTCTTATCAGCACATGTCGGGTGACGGGCCATCCTCACGTGAGCAAATGCCGCTCCAAGTCCCACTTGCCTGCCGGGTCCAAACGTAACGCACAGCATCACGTGGCTAGAAAGCCGTCAGCAAGGTGACTCAGAGTCGGTATCATGGAAATACAAACACAAAACTAAAACAGACATGGAGAGCTTGCGGTTGCTAAGAACTGCTAAGAACCATCAGGGGTCTGTAGTCGGATTCTGCTTTTGTCTGAGGGCTGATGGAGGGTGGGGTCCTCGAGAGAAGGGATGGGGCTCCGTGGAGGGGATAAGAGAGGGGGCGGAAAGGAGAGGCTGTTATATATGGGAGCGATCCCCGAGGGGGAGGGGGCCGGGTCTGCACCTCTGGCAACTGGGTGGATCATGGTGCCAGGCGTAGAACTGGACGCAGGCAGGGGGAAATGCAGAGTCTGCATGCCTTGGGCAGAATAATGCCTGACCCCCACGGTGTCCACAGCCTAATCCTGGACCCGTGAACGTGCACTTACATGGCAAAAGGTGTGGCCCCTCCGCAGCTGACAGTAAGGGTCTGGGGTCTCAGAGAACCATGTGGCAGGCACTGGGGACCTGGTGGGTGAGGCTGAGGGCCTGGCTTCCCTGGGTGCTGAGTGGGAAGAGGGTTCTGGACATGCAGGGGCAGGGTGTGGGGTCTGAGATGTGGTGGCCAGAGAAAGAACCAGCGGGAGAAAACGTCATGCAATTATCAAGACAAGCATCAAATGCCCCGGAGGTTGAGCAACAGACCACAAAGTACACAATGGGTTTGGCAACCTGAGACCTCACAGGTGCAGCTCTGGGGGGGGGGGGAGTGGTCCTGGGGTGCTAGGGAGGAAGACGCAGCAGGGGAACAAGGAGATGGGACGGGGGAGGGTCTGCCCCGACCCTGCCCCAGTGCAATCCTCTGAAAGGGTCTGGAAGGGCCTGACAGGGCCCCATGTGTGTGCATGTCCACAGCCCAGGAGGGCTGGCTGGGGTGGGAGGGCAGAAGGGGAGGGTATGAAGCCGGGAAACCTCGGGGGGGCATGAGACTAGGGAGTTGGTCCTCTCTTCCAGGAAACACTCCGACCAAACTCCCCTTCATTGGCCTGAAACCTCCCACAAAGCATGTACATTTGGGCCTTTGCCCCGTCTTTCTCAGGAGCTGACTTGTGTGCAAACTTTACAGGAAGTACAAATCTCACAAAAAGTCTTACAAAATATATAAATGGAACATGAATTGTTTTTTTTGTGAAGTTGCCATGAGAAATTCCTCTAAGACGAACCATGAGAGACGATGGACTCTGAAAAACAAACTGAGGGTTCTAGAGGGGAGGGGGGTGGGGGGATGGGTTAGCCTGGTGGTGGGTATTGAGGAGGGCACGTTCTGCATGGAGCACTGGGTGTTATGCACAAACGGTGAATCATGGAACACTACATCAAAAACTAATGATGTAACGTATGGTGATTAACATAACAATAAAAAATTCCTCTAAAAATTGTAGCCACTCCCCTAGCCACGGCAGGGTGTCACTGGTCCCATCACAAAGGTCCTAGTTCCGATCGGATGTCAGTCAGACCCATCCCAAAACACCTTCTCCCTTGAAGCGCTGGTTCAAATCAACGGTGGGGAAAATGCTCAGATGTGAGAGTGACATGCGACATCTTAGGACCAGCGGCCACGGGCTGGCCCCATTGTCGTGAGATCATGAGGAACAGAAGCTCCGTGGCTCTGGGTGAAATGTCACTGCTTATTTTCGAGGTACCTGAGGAACAAGTTGCCACAGATCTGGGCAAGCACTTTATAGCTACTGAATCGTCCTTTAGGGTGATGAAGCCACGAGGGGCAGAGCCAGGGGTGGACCCCATGCTCCGTGGCTCTCTGGGGACACTCCCACCAAACAGTCCAGGTTACACCTACTCCTGCATCTGGTGGACAATGAAAACACATTACAGGAAACGTAGAAAATACAGGAAGTATAAATATCATTTAGAAACAATCATTTTTGAAGATTTGCCATGCATCTTTCCACCTCCAGTGCCCACGTAGGCATTTGTGCTTTTGCGGCAGGCTTGTGTTTACTTTCATTACACTTTCCCTTTCGTTTCACAAAGTAGGGAAGCTGTGTGCTTCCTGAGGGCAGGCTGCTTGTCCCGCTGTCGTGCCCCAAAGCCTGGCACGGTGCTGGTGAGGGCGGGAGCCTCCGGCCCGCGGATGTGTGAACTGGCCGAACAAATGGGCGCCTCCATCGGCTCCACCAGCATCTGCTGGGGGGGCGGCTGCTTATGCAGGTACCCCCGTCACCAGGCTCTACAGCTCTGCCCTGGTCCGGGGGCCGGCCCACCTCCGGGCCCCGGGGAGTGGGTGGCGCGCATGGCCTACAGGCGCAGGATGGAGCCTCTCTTCGCCCACCATCTTTTCCGAGTCTCGGCATCAGATCTCAGCCTCGAGAGGTCACGTGCGGTGCTCCAGAGCCCGGCTCTGTCTCCCTCACCGCGCGGCCAGGAGCTGCTCTCCATGGAGGTCCTGGGGTGCGAGTGCAGGGGGCGGGTACGGGGGGGACGGACGACACCCGGTGCCTTCACAGTATGCAGGACGGAGAGACGGGCCACAGGAGCGAGCCGGTGGCAGAGCTGGGGACCGGGCCCTGTCTGCTCGCCGGCCATGGAAGAGTTCAGGTGCAGAAGTCACAGGTCATCGAAGCCTCTATCACGACTCGTGGTGTGATGGACGGCTGGGTGCTTCTTCCGGGTGTGAGAGGCATGCAGGGGGATGTCGGGCGCATGTCAGGATGTCTGGCATTTACCCTTTCACTAGCTTATCTCCTAAGCCATGAGGGAATGGAAGAACCTCTGAAATCTGCCTCTGTTCAAGAAATAGGGACATATTTTTCAGCAAGCCTACTTCCCAAAGCTACCCGTCAGCCAAGCCTCTGACATGTATCGACAGTGCCGACGTGTCTGTGACCCACAGAGCTAGCTCTGCCCCTCCGCCTGAAGGGTAGGGGCGCTGGCCGGCAGGTGGGGAAACGCACAGCGCACCACACAGGGCCAGGCCGCGCTGGTGTGGGCTTGAAATGGGCTCGGGGCCTCGGCGGCACCCTGAGCTTGTGACTGCTTCAACTTGGGTTCCTGGCCGGGAGCTTGAGGTCTACAGTGCAGGGCCACGTCTCTCTCATTTCCTGTGGTGGCCCCAGCCCTTCGCCGTGCCCGGAACCAGCACGTACTTGCTGAAGGCGTGCAGGGGCCCGAAGTCTGGTCCATAGCTTAGCAGGACAGTGTGCTCAGGACCTCAGCCATCTAAGGCCGCGGTGACATGGCATGACATCACGTGTGGCTTTCCCAAGGTCACAGCTGGAAGGCCTGAACGAGGGACGGCCCCTTGGCTCTCTGATGCCCCTCAGCGGCAGGTGGGCCCGAAGCCAGTGAAAGGTGGCCTCTACCAGACCAGTTTGCTGAGCGCAAATGCTCCCACTGTTACTGGCTCCTGGAGCTGTTATGAAGTCCAGCTACCCTGTTCACGGTTCAGCCTAAGAAAAGTGGCAAGGGGTACTGAAATTGACCACAAGGGGACTTTGGAGAATATGAGAAGTGAAGTAATCCTTAATAGGAATGTAAAGTTCTTTGTTAATATGGAGTTTTCCACTGTAAAGAAATAAGCTTTAGCAGGATTACCTTAGAAGCAGAAAGTCCACTTTTTAAAATTACAGGATCCTGTTATCAGAATGGTGATTTTGATACAAAACAGTAATAAACTATGGCACCACAGAAGTCCTAGTATTTCTAAGAATTAACGTTTGTAGAGCACCGTGTCAATCATCCCTGAGCACTTAACAGTTCCATCACAGGCCGTCCTCCCAAGTTTTACTATCCCCTCCTGACACCCTCAAGGGCCAGGAGCCCACCGGGCATCCCCTGGTGTTCAGGTCTACGCGGATGGCCTCACAGCCTCTGGCCAACTGTGGCAGCAACAGAGTGACCCAGGGGCGACCGACCGTGTGGGCTCTGGAGCCTGACAGCCTCGGCTCTACCCTCGGCTCGCCCCCTGCTACGGACTTCCTCCCGCTGCTGACCGCACACGGGGCCCCCCCCTGTAGAGTACCAACACTGATCACTGCTGACTCCGACGTTCCTTCTCGTGCTGGGCACGGACCCAAAGCTTCCTCCTGCAGGGACTCATTTCCAGGGACAAAAGACTCTCCCCCTCAAGGGCGATCATGAGGCAGGAATGAGAGCACGTGCACGGCGCCCGAAGCCCCGCCGGGCATGGAGCAAGCACGCAGTGAAGGCCGGCTCGGAGAGGCCAGCCGTGCCTCGAGCCCTGGGGTCCCTCGTCCTGGCTCACTGCTAGGTCTTCACAGCACCAGCGCGTGGAGGCACTTGGTCAACCTTGGTGTGGGGGCCCCAAGTTCGGGCTGTGCGGATGCCCTCGGGCCCCTGGAGCAGAGCAGCCGGGTCACCAGGGGGCCCCCAAGGTGGGTCCATCTGAGTCGCAGGACGTCAGGGACCCAGCGATGCTGCTGCCACCACCTCTACCGCTCACGTCCTCGTCCTCGAGGCCCCGGGCCTGCTGATCCTCCACGATGAGGTCGGCCACCAGGTTGAGCTGGCAGGCCCTGAGCGCCCTCACCAGGTGGGACACTGTCGCGTCCTCCCTCTTGGTGCTCTTCCAGACTCTCAGCGACTCCCTCACCTGCTCTGTCAGGTTGCGGGGATACTTCTCCTCGATGGCATCGATCTTGACGTCCGTCACTTTAAGGTGCCGGGCCAGTCTTCTCCAGTCCTTCCCCACATTATCACAGATGATGTCAAACGCGGCACGCAGGTCTGGAGAAAGAAGAAGATGATTTACCAGAAGTCTGGGGAGCTCGTTAGGAGACCAGTAACCTCATACTCCCAGTGGGCTTCTTGCTGCTGACCTGAGTGCTGGGGATACAAGAGGTGCTCTTGCAGAGGCTGGAGTCACCCAGCAGTAGAGGGGCCAGGGGAAGGTCAGAGAAAACCCAAGGGGGGGGCCTCCAGTCCTGCCCCCAGCCTACTCCAAAAACTGCCCAAAAGGTGTGGCCCTCCGAAGAGGTGATGGCTGGTGTGAGTGGTAGTGCAGCTAACTGCTTGGGTGGGGGAAACTGAGGGAGGGCCTGGGAGTTGTCTAAAGGAAGGAAATGGAATCACTCCCCCATCCTACCCTGTAGTTAAGTGGTGGCTCCTAAAAAGTTATGTCCACCTCAAATCCCTGGCACTGTGAACGTTAACTTATCTTGAAAAGGGTCTTTGCAGATGTGATCAAGTGGAGGATCTTGGGATGAGATCATCCTGGATTATCCAGGTGGGCCCTAAATACAGTGACAAGTACCCTTAGAAGACAGACAGAAGAGGAGGCCGTGTGATCATGGAGGCAGAGATGGGAGAGATGTAGCCATTCGCCAAAGAATGCCCAGAGCCTCCAGACTCAGGAAGAGGCAGAAGGATGCTGTCCCAGAGCTTCCAGAGGAAGCCTGGCTCTGCTGACGTGACCTTTGACTTCTGGCTCCAGAACTGCGAGAGAATCAGTTCCATGTGGCCTCAAGGCCCCGAGTTGTGGTCTTTTGTATGGCAGCCCCAGGGCACTAAAACCCAATTCTTATTTTGGAAGCTGCCTGGACTGACCACTAGTCTTTGGTCCCTGGCTACCACGTCCTCATCTGCTGAAAGGTCACGACTGAGACCAGCAGGTGGGGCACTACCGACCCTAACAGGCAGCTTCTGGAAATGAGGGAGCAAGCAGAGAGGAAGGACAAAATGCTGCTCGGAGGGCCCCAGCAATGTGTATCTTCAGCTACAGACCCCCAAGATGCTGTCAGCCTGTGTGCCTACTCTGCTCCGGCCCCCCTGGAGGTGGGCAGGCGGGCACTTGTGTTACCGTGACCACTGGTACAGAGGGGGAAACTGAGGCACGGGGAAGAAAAGTGATTTTCCTGATGTCATACAGCTAGACAACGGCACAGCCAGAAAGCAAAATCCAGACAAGTCAGCTGCCGGTCCCCTCGACCAGGACGCTACCCCGTCTTCTGTGCGAGAGTAATACAGGACGGGCCCTCATCAATCCACCCCTACCTGTTAATCTCTGGTGTACTCTCCTGCAACACACAGTATCTACACACATACAAACACAGACAGACACAGAGAAATCTAAAATGTTATGATCTGTGTTTTGTGGACTGCCTTTTAAATGTATCATGTCAACAATCTCCCCTCCACTGAATGTCCTTGAAAACATAATTCCTCTATGTCCTGTTCTGTTTGCACAGCGCTGTGTGTCTATGTTTATCTACGGGTCTTTTCGGAGTTAACACCCATGCTGTTAGAGGTCCACCCTTTCCCTCTGGTGACCGAAGGACTGATGCCAGGCCAGAGCTTCAAGCCTATGAGGATGTCCCCGAAGCACTCGCCATCACCCCCTCCCAGGGCTCTGAGAACACAGGGGTGTGGCTGAGAAGCCCTGCTCCACCCAGGTCTCATTTTTACTCCTCGAAGCCTCTGCAAGCCCCAGGTGAGGCTGGAGAGTGGGGATGCCTGAGCACAGGGTAGGAAGCCACAGAACGGACCTGGTTCGAGAGGCTTGGTGCCAATACCACCCACCCACCCACGGCTGCCTCAGGTCAGTCCTAGTTAGCAAGGGCTGTGCATCTTAGGCCCCTCACCTCACCTCGCAGCCATGGTCCTCTGGCTTGTAAGACGTGAGTAAGAATAGCAGAACCTAACTACGGGGCTATCGTGAACACTGAACAGCTGCGCTAGAGACATTTTCAGTACTGTTCTGACAGCGTCAAGGGCACAGTGGGGCATTCCCAGAGGCAGAAGGAAAACGAAAGCAGCCGCAGGCTCACCAAGCTCCTCCCACCCAGCGGAGGTGAGCAACGTCCTTTCCTTGGAATGCTTTCTAATTAAGCCGGAGGAAGGGGGCGATAGAAAAAATACCGAACTGGGTGTGTGTGTGTTTTCACGTTTTCCAACCCAGAGTAAGTTAACTTTTATGAGCTTTGGCTCTCCCATCTGCAAAGTGGGCAGTTCACCTGTCTCCCAGGAGCGCTGAGACAAAATCTGCGCCAATCGAACCTGAGAAAGGTCTGGCGCGGCTGACCGGCCACATCTACCGCTGGGCAAACTGGCCCCGCCTCCCCCGGGCTCGGTCAGTCCCCCAGCCTCCCGGGCCCCGCCCCGCCCCTCCTCCGGGTGCCCGGTCCCCGGCCCCCCGCGCCCACCTCGCTCCTCCGGCGGGACCCTGCCCGCCGCGCCCGCCTCGAAACTGTCCAGGCGCTGCAGCAGGTCCTGGCGCCGCAGGGAGACGAGCAGCTCGCGCAGCAGCTCGGTGTGCTCGGAGTCCAGCTCGTTCTGCTCCAGCAGCACGTTGAAGAGGTCGAGGCCGCTTTGCACGCGCTCCAGCTTCCTCTTGCCCACGCGGCTCCGGCACAGGAACTTGAGCTCGGTCAGCTCGTCGTTCGACAGGCCGGTCGACACCGAGTGCAGCAGCACCAGGAACGGGTCCATGGCGGCGGGCCGCGGGTGGGGGCCCAGCCAGGCCCTCCGCGCGTGCCCCGCT